TTCTGTGCTTGGAACAAATATTTGGGAAATTACACAAATATTTACTTATCTCACAAACCCATGTCTCAGAGTTATAAATTAGAAGTGATTGTTTATTACCTTTTACCCATTACTTCGTCTTATCTCTTAAAATTTCCTCCCCTTATTATTTTTTAGATCGTCTGTGTCTTTTCTCTGTGATCTATTTTGATATCAAATTTCATTTAGATCTGTTCAGCTGTTTAATCATGAAAAGGTAATAACCGACAGATTTTATTTATAAAATGAAGCTGTAATAATTACAGCTTTATTTTATAAATTGATTAAAGTAAAATTACTTCCGACAATTAAAAACTTAGTTGCTAATTGATTGTATAAGAATTTCCACCTCAAATATCTACTCAACAAAAAAATAGTAGTTACGCTGTGGTAAATGCTCAAGGCTTTTCATTATTCACTTGTTTTACACGCTCAACCTTACTGGCTCTAGAAACAGCTCCGGTTATAATAATCTGCAAAGTAATTGCTTCTACGAGCACGTAAAATCTTATCGTCTTAAGATATGGACTTGTCATGGAGCCTGTTCTCCCACGTCCCGTTTTGCCAGCCAGCTAACCACTGCCTCGGCGACTACAGCGCGTTCTCATTGACGTCGTGCAATGCTACCATCCACCAGTCAGGTTAACGAACCGGCCCGCTACAATATTCCACATTAACTATTGTAGATTTTTTTTTCTTTTCTATGAGTACAACATTCATAACTGTATATGTTAACATGCTATTATATATAAAAAATATACAGGCAGTGCACGTTTGGTTCATGATTATGACTATAAATGATAATTATTATAACTCTGTCAGATTTGTTTCATATATGAATAAGAAAGCTTTCACTTTTTATTCGACATATGTTTACAAGCGTTATAGACTCCAAATGCAACGGTACATTTGTAATGTTATGTCGTTAAAATATAATGAACGCTTAGCAAGTATGGTACGTACTACTTTTAGATATTTAGGACGTGAATAGTGCCATTATGATAGAGCAGGTAAGTAATATTGACGACTTATCTGTCATGTCACTTGTATTCGCAGAACAGCGCTCAGCGGCAAGTTTTGCAGTTTTAAATCCTGTGTGTATCGCTAAAACGTTTAAAATCGTTAAGATCTAATATATGTGGAACCGGTTGCGTATCGTAACCGTTCATCTCAGAATCTGCCGCATTTGAAAAGCGTATTGTAAAATGTGAACGTACATGATTGTCAAAATTATTAATTCAATAGTATACGATCTGACAATACAGATGTCTCAAGCAACAATAATGAAATAACCAACGGTTTCAATCAAAGATAATATGCGTATATATTTTTTTCAGAATGAATAATTTATTGATTTCAAAACACAAGTATTTCACTAACAATAGTTATTTTTGAATAGGTTCTAAAGAAATCTCTTACCGATTTTGATGATTTTTCAATACATTCTGTGTGTGTCCCATAATAATATTATCGAGACATATTGGTAAAGAATATCCTGCCTCAAATGAAATAAAATCAACATAATCTCTCGTTTACAAGAGTATGAAAGAGAAATGAGAATGAAAGTTTATTGTCAACATCACCTCTTATCATACAAGCAGAACAGTCCAATCTATACTCTTTTATTATTCCGTTTGGCTATTATACACACATCATCAATGCAAACTAATTGTTGAGAATGTACGTGATCGAAATAATTTGCGTCTCTGATAGGACTTTAGGAAAATATTCTTTCCGTTTCTTCACGGTGTATAATAATTATAATTGTAAAGAAAATCGGCATCACAAAGTACACGACAACAAGGTAGGAATTTAAAATTTTACCTTTTTCACAAGTAGGTAATCCCTTAGATTGTTATATGTGCCTGACAAATAAAGTACTCTATACCGTATATTATTCAATATACTAAACGTGTAATTACTTGGTGAATCATTGAAAGTAATATTTTCTCGAAGTTTAGTAAAATACACATATATGTTGTGTGTATTTTACAAAACTTCGAGAAATGCTTAAATTTAATATAAAAAATCTACATTACATATATTATAAATTAATATGTAGAATACTGTTTATTCTAATTTACGCGGGCCTAGCCATGCTATGTAACTCGTATCTAATCAAGGAAAATTATACGGTTGGCTGCATGTGAATTGCATTTTACTACTACTCGTAAGTATAGGTGCTAGCAATCGATATTATTCTGCGCGTATTATAGATAGCATGATAGCATGGTGCCGGTGACAGCATGTACAAGTTAATGAAACATAGGTCATTACGATACCTCATTGTATTCCACAATGCAGTTTATTGCAAAAAATAATATGTTATTACTGTTAGGTTGACTGTTATTTGAAAACTAATTACTAATGGACCGCGCGGGTTTGCCCTGGTACATATAACTTTGGGAGGTTTGAAGATAAAATTAATATACTATAAGTAATATATAACTCCTATGTCAGTATGAAATAATGCAGCTTTCAAACAAAGTTTCTCAAAGCGGTGCAGTAATTAGGGACATTACTTTCTGCTGTAATAATAACTAAATATAACATAGTCAGTTCTGTTTATAATATTATATAGATAATTCTTTTACACAATAAAAATGTTGGTGTATAATATGTTACGATACTTTATTTTATAATACTCTGATATTTTTTTTATTAAGCGGACTTTAATAATCTGTAATCGATAATCTGATAATGCGGTTGTAAGTAATTTTTTATGTTTTTTAATTTTAATTATTTTTTAGGTATTGTAAAGGCCACAATAGCTGTTATCAATTTCTTATCTTTATTTGTATCTTTTTATTTAGTATGTTGGTTTATTTAATAAACGTATCTTGTTATAGTGTTGTCATTTCTAAAAATAGAAATTTTCAAGTTTCATTCAGTAGCGGTACAATGACTTGTTGCAGACGTTACTTCATGCGTTCAATTAAAGCTATTAGTTGTCACACATTGTTATTATACACCATAGCGCGGTCTTCCGCACACTATTTGACCTATTAAAAGTAATGTTATTATTAATTTTATCTCTCTTTGAATATATTTTGAATATATAGACGTTCAACGGTACTAGGCATATTCATTTCATTAAATCAATAAAATACTTATTGCCCCCGCCTGTTCTTATGGTATACACTCGCGAGGCACCAATAAAGTATATAATAGGAAGAGCTTGAAATTAAGTTAGTTAGCCCATTATGACGAATTCACCAGGAATTAACCTCTATGACTTTCGGGGGCTATTACGAATTATTCTCATTACTAATACCTCATCAATATATTTTTTTTATTTATTCGTGAGATCCATTATCTTACATCTACGCTATGCTGAAATAGTCATATATAAATCCATAACAATTGAAATTACAATCTTATGTACCACAAGTAGTTACGTGTATATTTTTTTCAAAAATAACAAAGTAAACAAAACATAAACATAATTTAGAGATCGAATTAAACAGGGCCATTCAATGAAATATACATTAGTATTGATATAAACACTCCTTTATATCCTTTATCTGAAGTGGATACAGCAACCACTGACGTGTCGTTGTACTGTAAATACCTCAGTGAGAGTCAAGGGCGGCTGATGGGAGCGTCGCGTGCGCATCTCGGCACGCAATCTCTGTATTCCCACCCAAACGCCCATTACGGGAGCGAGAAACCAAAGCCTAATTTACCGCACTATTTGACACAAAAAAAATACATCTATATAATTACAACTATTTCAAATGTACATAATTATATAGTTAGTAGATTTATAGTGATTTAATGTCAGTATGAGGCAATGTATAGTTTTATTTATATTTAATTCTTTATTATAACAATTTATTATAGTGTAGCTATTACTAACATTTTGAATTGTTAAGAATTTTATGACTGTTTTGGTTACTCAAATATTTCGGTAAGTTTTTAATAGATTTTACGATCATTATGAAGTCATTTCAGAGCCATTTTAGAGGGCATTGACTTATTTGAATAGTTTTCGACAAGAGAACTAATTTATGGAATTAATTCATATAATTATTGTTTTGAAAATCTTGAAAGTTTATTTCTATTTATATATTTATAAATTTTCTTTAGTTACGAACAAAAAAATATATTAGTTATCTGCATGCTTTAAGACATTTATTATTTTAATAGACTGATATTTATCATCTTTTTAAATATACGACTGGAATTGCAAGAAATTGACCGCCCACCTGTTGGAAAGCGGTTCCACAAAACCTTCGCCTATACAAACATTAGAAGGAAAAATACGTAAATTCAACTTTTTTCCTGTTTCGTATGTATAAATTAGTAGGTATAAATAACTCAATAATAACGAAAGAATTTTATTTTAATCAGCCGCTTACTATTAATACCTACCACGACCTACTTATCTTTTTATAAAAAAACTATTTAAAGATAACTTTCTTTACTTGCTGTTTGGTGATTCATAGAAAGACATATAAATTATACGGTTTCATAAAATTGAATGTTTGAAAAAAAGAGGATTGGTACTAAACTAACAAAGGCTTACAAATCTGTGTAATTTGTGATTTTTAGAAGACTTACCAATATTTCTGAATGATTTTTAAGAGTACTCCTACTAAGCGAACTCGAATCAAATATGAATGACACAATCCTCTAATATTACGGCAAATTGGCAATGTTTTCAATGGTTAGGTTGATGATTTACACATTTAAAGTGCACTGAAACTTGTTATTATAATTATAAACTGTTATTATTTTTTGCTATACGTATATAATGATAATGCAATCGGTGTACAATTAGTAATGAAACATTAAATCAGCTAATTGTGTTAATTTAGTACTACCGAATTATCGGCCGTAACGCGCTACTTCCAGCTGAGACGGCCTCGTATGTACCACGACTTCCTCATGGTTCAACGATGACCACACTACTCTGTGTCCTTGAAGATATTAATCATTGGTCACGATTACAGTATTCATGTATCTTGTTTTGTTCGCAGGATCAATATGAAAACTTAGCCGCCCACACACACAAAGGAATTGAATTTCTTGACAAATATGGAAACTTTGTTAAGGAGAGGTGCGCAATAGAATTAGAATATGCAGGAAAACTCAGGTATAGTTACGTAATATTATATTATATTGAAGTAATCTATGCTAGCTTAAGAACCATTATTTTCTATATAATTTGGTATAGGTAAACAAGTCGATGCCAAGTCCACCTAAAGGAAAGCATAAATGTATATAGAATATCCGCTATATGACATGACTTACATGGTACAATTTATACAATGCCTTAGGTGGATTGCTTCCTTACCTAGCCGACAACTTCATTGCGTTATTCGTGAGACCGGAAACGGAAATAAATAGAAAATGAAATGTTTCATTAGTAACGAAATGGTTTTACAGTAACTATTATAAAATGTAATTATTTTTATAAGGAGTCCCGTATAGATATGTAGTGGTTACCACTAAAGGCCCCGTGATATGCCCACCAATGGCCGTGTGTACAAAAAACTGACGCAATAAATCTCCATCTAACGATATAAACACGGACTTCGCTGATAATAAAATATCGTTGATAGAGCAAATTTGAACTATTAAAAATAAAATACAACTAGCTATTAGAAATGAAAAATTGTTTATTTCTGTCACAATAAATAATGGCATATGGATAATTTTCATAACAATGGCAGTGTCGTGTGATCTTTGTACCTCTATCATTTGCTTGTAGTGAAACCATTGACGCTATTATTGATATTGCACATAAACCCTGTAATTATAATAATTAAAGCTTTAATATCGATTTTAGGACATAATGCTATCAAAGGACAACTCTGTACTTTTATATTTCTAAAAAAAGGACAAAAAAGTGAAGGTTTTTATTATACTAAAATGCGGTTTATTGATAGTCCAAAAAAAATTTTGGTTCCATTTTATCATATAAATACCCATTCGCCATAATCCACACGTAGCACACGTGTCAATTACCGGAATGTAAAAAAATACATCTTATATAATTTGAAAGTTTATAACTTAAAACATAATATGCACATCATGAATAAATTCTAATACAGTCTAAATATAATTGGTCACAAACATCTTTGATTTTTAATATTCAAGTGGCTTGAAGATCGGATTTTAATGTCATACTTAAAATACTTAATATGCCGTAATATCAAATGATTGGAACATTTTATTAATGAGTGGTGAATATTAATCATAGTAGGTAATAGATATTATAACACAGTTATAAATGGTAGGCACGGCACGTCATAAAAGCAAATCAGACGGCATACAAAGCCACGAAATTTTTTTTGTTATCGTTTCCTTTATTCATATTTAAAATCGGTTACAAATTAAAGTATATTCCGTATTCACAAGTAATGATTATGTTATTATTTATTACTACAGCAATTATTTACACAATCAAAGACAATTGTCTGTTCTTGCATTATATCTTAAATAATATGTATTAATAATCGCGTAATCCGTAAGATAACTTGGGAACTTTAAATATTATGTAACGTATATAAAAATAAAATATCCTGTTCAACATATCTTACTGAATATTCTTAAGAAAGTTGAACTCAAAGAAATGTGTAAATGCAAACCAGTGACACCGGTTTTTCTATTGATTCACTTTTACTATTTTATATAGAATATTTTATGAGGTATTTCTACGTAATAAATTTAAATAAATACCTACTCAGTAGGAATTGTTTTGAATGTTGGATGATTTGGTTATCATATTTTATAATCTTATACTGCCATGTCCTTTTATCCAATCGACTTACAAAACGTAATCAGATGGTAGTATTTAGTCTCAACATAGTATAACCTGCCAGTTCTCTACCAATAACATATTGTTGCAGTAGTCCTGTGACTCAAATGGATCGTTTCGTGGTTGAATGTAGTACAGTATAATGATAATATTAAAAATAATTAGATGGGTTACTGTACAATAAATAAATCTAATAATAAAAATCCGCTGAGTAGACACGCACAATTATTCTATTTCTACAAATAATAATTAAAATAAGACATGTCATTTACTAAAAGATTCCACAATATTTTTAAGTATGTAATTTATCCTGTTTCTCATTATTAAATTCAGTAATTTTTATTTACAGGAGGCTTGTCAAAAATTATCAACCAAAAAGAAAAGAGGAGGACGAATATCAGTAAGTAAATGTTTTCTGTTGTATAAGCAAATGGATATAAAAAAAAAACCATAAAACAGTCCCGCTCACACACCGAGAGTTGCCAACAAATATTTTAAACATATCTATTTTCAAAAGTTGATAATTAGACGCAACCGTCTTTCAACTTTTATTTTTATTTTAAATCTATAATATAATAATTATCAGCTTTCGTGTAAAAGTTGTTATGGATGAAGAAAGTGCATTTAATATTTATTCATAAACTACTAATGACCCACGACCATGTTGTTGTGTTATGTATGTTAAGAATGCTGTTAATCTATTCCAGATATACATCATGCAAAGCGTTTAGACAGTTATTGGAAGAGTTAGGCGATTTTGCGGGACAACGGGAAGTTGTCGCTGAAAATTTACAGTCCAATGTTCTTAGAGAATTGCACTTACTCGCCAAAGAATTAAGAGAAGAAAGAAAGGTAAGCTTTATCTTTTTATCTGAATCTAAACAAAATGGTTCTGAGTTCTATTAAATCTTTCTTCCCATACACGGAGAAAAGGCAAAGGGCAAGCCAGATGACATACACTTTAATAATATTACGTTCTAGTAATATCCTTATTTATTTACATGTAGAAAACAATAACCAGCTAATAGGTTTTTCCCACTCTGTTTTTCCTCTTTGAATCTTGAAGATAAAAAAATACCTATGTATATTGCATCGCTAATTTCCTCTTTGTTACTAAACCGATACTATAATCCTCTTTTCTAGGGATTGTAAAATAAAATACTTCATTGATTTTCTATATATTACTCCACAATAAAAACGATTTCATTACCTATAACAAAATAATATAATATACATATACATAATGTTTCAAAATCAAGTTTTTGATTATTAAGATAAATGAAACTTTGTTAAGATTATTTGGATTGAATGGTACCAGCTTTACCCACCACGGTTGGTAACTAGAACTGCAGACTGTTTGACTCATCTTCTATAAACTGTGTAAAAAGAATATTGTTCGTAATTTCTATATTGAGTTATTGTCTCATTTGATATTGACTTCCTTTTTGTTAATAATGTTGCATTTGTTTTATTTTTATTTTTTAATTTGAATTTATTTTAGTTTTGGCAATAATGATACATAAACGCATCGAATAACCACCAAGTACGTATTGATCTCTCAAGATGTCTGGTTTCTGGATCAATCGTATTTATCTCTATCGATTCTTGTAACCTACAATATTTACATATTGATAGGATTACATTATTTTTCTTACAGACCAATGCCGTGTATGTTGTTCAATGCCACCGCCTGTGTTGTTCAGTCATACGCATTTATTCAAGGGTTATCGCCCTAAAATAGGAAAAAAAGATATAAGAGTTATTATTATTATAACGCAATCATTTATCAACTCGAATAGGGAAATAAACATGAGTCGGTATACAATATTTATGCGGCATATTTTATAACATTATTACTGAGTTTATACGCAATTTAATTAACTCATTGCTCGAAATGTATATATACACATAAAAAAGTTTGGGTATATAAAGACAATATGTATTGGTAATTTCCTAAAATTCGCTGGTTATTAAAATATTATAAATTACATCTTTGGCCCAATAGCGCCGTTCTCCTTTGTATCTCTGCGCAAGTACCAGTCGATGCCCAACTGTATGGATTTAAAATTCATATTACAGTATACTTAGTGAGTTTTATCTACTTTAGAAGTTTCAATACTATCTACAGATTATACCGTCCGGTCTGAACGCTCGTGAGATTAAATCAATCAATATTTGAGATAAATTGATGTAAAACACACCTTGCGTAATTTATATCGAAGGAAATTCCTCAATTTCCTTCCTGTTAGTATCAAGATCTTACTCATTCCCTACGACTCTCTATATTGATTATGCTGACGTGTGCTACCCGGATATGAACAATGACCTTTTAAATAAGTTGATCGTTTTATTATTAATTGCATACTGTTCCCAGCTCAACCGTAACCTTCGCCCATCTAGCAATTTACTTCTGATCCTGGTCACAATGCGAACTCTTTTTCTGAAATATTTTTTATTACAGGCCACTAAAGATGGAAATGATTTACCTCTCGACATAAAATCCAATCAAATTCATATTCACATCTAAATTACCCCCATATCTTTCTGAGAACTATTAAGAGTAATTAATTATTTTCCTAATCTAAAGTTAAATAGTATTATTTCTCTATGCACCTAACCTCTCACTGTTATTTGTTTATGTATATTTACATAATTTTAGTATTGTATTAGTAAAAAATTTTAGGTAGACTTACAACAAAAAGATATACCTTAATAATAATATAAGTATAAAATTAGGTAACATATGCAACGTTCAGACGATTTTAGACTAATTTACTTCTGTAAATATTTCACTATAAATAGCAGTGGTTCAGTGCAGTGGCTTTACGGTGTCCCGCCCATGTTTCTTTAAATTTATTGATACAGCTCGCTAAAATTAATGTTGCAAACAGTATATAAAAAGTCAATGAACGTCATTTACTGTGCTCCTCAATAAATGGACAGTGCATTGAGCAGTCGTGGCCTGCGATTCATCAGAGTTTAACTGTAACATAAATTTTGTGCAGACGAACTTTTTATAAACAAACTTCCTCTTAGCTATCAAGTATATTTATATCCGGCTAGCTGACCCGGTAACTTCGTCTGCATATCACACTTACTTGACATTTATCATTAATACATTATAGCCTATGTGTTATTCTGAAGTATAAGCTATATATTACTAGGAAGTTTCATCAAAATTCGTTCCGTAGTTTTTGCGTGAAAGAATAACGTAAACATCCATCTATACTTACTCTATGCATAATATTAGTAAGATACCTATTGGACAAACCAAAGTTTTGATAAATTTTTCATGTTTATTTATTTTGTGGCCTGGTTAACGGTTAACTTATCGATTTACCCATCGGTTATTTATCTTAATGCATATGCGGTCACTGATATGACAGTGTTATCTCCCCCATCCGGTTACACACAAGAGTGGAATATCTCTTTATAGTTCATATATGTAATTGTTTATATGTTACAGCAACATTTAAATGAGGGCGCGAGACAGACTACAATTTTAAATACGGCGATCGGCGCCCTGGACCGAGCGAGAAGAACATATGAACGTGCCGCGAGAGAATCGGAACGAGCGTTAGAAGCTTTCCAGAAAGCAGACGCTGATCTCAATTTGAGGTGACTGTTTCCTCACACTAGTATTGCGCACAATAGTTCGCGACTGGGAACATTCAATTTAGTTCGCAGTGATTCTGTTTTCAATTCTTTCGCTCCTGACTTGAATTAGAGTAGTCTTCCTGTTTTTTAAGGACGCAAATACAGTTTTTATTTTATAATCTATACTTCTTATATATATCTATACTTAATGTTACCATCTCATACTAATTCAGTTCCAGATGCCAACATACAGTATTAGACCATTTGAACCTTGTTTGATTTTGTGATTTACAAATATGGTGCTCTGAAATTTGCGTAGGTTTATGATATTATTTTATTATGTTATGACGACTATATGTTAGTAGTGGGGCGTGGGATTGTTATTAATGAACTATTGGCCTCATTGTTAGCAATACGGCATAGCAGGTCGACCTTAACGCGGTATCCTCTAGAGACAAATGTGGTTAAGTGATTCCTGATAAATTCGCCACGAAGGACTAAATGACGTTACTTCGTCCTCACTTTTTATTTTTTCTCTGTTATCTCACTAGTATTCATCATCAACCGCATCAATCACTATTAAAATGAATAAATTTTCATAAGTCATTCTATCTTTTAGCTGTAAATGAGTAATAATGGAAACAATAAAACCTATATTTGTGATAAACATTATGCGCTGGAAATGAAGTGTTTATAAAAAGAACACAATATAAGCCATTACTTATAATGTTTATGTTATACATATAAAAGTTCATAACAAATGTACTTCATTCGTACAACGTGCCGGTCTGATCTACTGACGATGGCATTGAACGGAGGGTGGAATGTGAAATAAGTCTAAGAAAAAAAATCTTATATTGTTTTTTTAGTTAAAGATGAAATTGTAAGCGGAGTTCCAGTGCATAATCAAGTCAGGTCAAGGTCACTTTGACCGTTCTTACGACCTCACGATAGTTACCAACATGGGTAGAATAGTGGTCGATCCTTGTACAATGCTACAAATAAGTCCCAGTAGTAGTTCTATTACAATACTAACAAGGGATGGAGCCCTAGTTTCTTCACTTTGTTAATTATTCTAGTATTATAATTCATTTTAAGACTAATCGCTTTATTTTTATAACGGGGACTTATTGAGTGAACCGGATAAGTAGTTTTTACTCAATTCTTAAATTATTTTTTTATTAAATAAAAAAAAACATGTGTTTGTATATTGATTACAGTCGGGCGGAGGTTGAAAAACAAAAAGCGAACATGAAACTCCGGAGTCAAGCGTCTGAGGACGCGAAACAGGACTACACAGACCAACTGAGGAAGACCAACGAGGCACAGCGGCAGCACTACGAACAGCGGCTACCTCACGTCTTTAAACAGTTACAGGTACAATACTTCATACATTTTTAAATGTTGAAGTATATTTAAGTAATTGTTCGATATCACAGTTTCCTCTATTCAATGTTCAGACAATGGCTGAAGTTCTACCAAGAGACAATAACGAAGCAATAACTCGAATTAATATTTTTATAAATTTTCTATAGAATTATTATTTACTGCATTAGTGTCAAAAGTCTTTCATCTATAAAATGGAACTTTCTTAAATCCTTCTGATTCCTTATGTCCTCGTCAGTATTCAAGTGACACAAATAGATGTTATGTTTTGATGCAGTGGTTCCAATTTGATGCTACACAGTATTTCTAGGTAATACGATTGCTTTATAAATATTTATAGCAATATTTGTGTATAAGAGCAAGTACCAATCCAATAATTAAATATCACGAAGCTTTCTCCAGTTCCATGACTCATGTGACCATTTGAACAATTCGGTGAATTCTTACCATAAGTGCAGCCAGCGTTTGGCGTGCATTTTGGCGGCGCGCCAACTAGGTCAAATGGAAAGTAAAGATTTTGTTAAATCTCCACTACTTCAGTATTATAACTAACGATATTTTTATTCTATAATTTGTAACATCACAATTACATATTGCTCCGTTTTATTATTTTCAGGACTTAGATGAGAAACGAATAAAAAATATAAAGAACTTCATGTTGAGTTCGGTCGACGTCGAAAGGAAAGTTTTCCCGATAATAATGCAATGTTTAGAAGGAATGGATCAAGCAGCTAATAACATCAATGAAAAAGAAGTAAGTGTTTATTAACATTGAAAGTTTTATATTTTGCGTACATTTCTACATACGGCATAGATCTCGTAAACATATTACGTCGACCCCAAATATATGAGATAAGGAACAAGAAGATGATGATTAAAGTTATCGATAGATTTGTTATGCTAATTTATAGTAACTAGTAAAATGTGGGTCGAACAACGAATATTCTGAACAAATTATGTGGCTTAATTATTATTTTATTTATGTGATATTTATGCAAGTATGATGTAATTTAATAGCCTATAAAATATGTAAAACTCATTACTGTGACTAGACATTCCTTGGTTTCGTAATAGTAACATAACATAAATTATTTTGTTTACAGGACACACAATTAGTAATAGATAGGTACAAATCGGGCTTCGTGCCACCGGAAGACTTTCAATTCGAGCCGGCAGCGGGCGGCGACACCACCGACTCGACCACCAACAATCACCACCACCACAATCACCTGACCGCCGCCCGAGGCACCGTCTCCGGGAATAGGATAAAGAAACGGGGCGGCCTCCTCTCAATATTTAGTTCCAATAAGGTAACATGGACGCATTATATGACAGATGATATATTGTACTATCTTATAGTCGAGACAATATGTACTGTTTGATTATATGCATTCACATAATAACATTATCAGTACAGACAACATCCTTTGCCCACGGAGGGTTGACTTCAGGCCGGTCATAAAAAACTGAAGCCAAAACCATTATTTCGTAATATGAATTTGAGTGAACGAATTGATGATAGTACAGACAATATCAGTATGATGGGTATCCATAGATATTGTTATGGTTACGATTACAATTATTATTTTATTACGTAAATCTTTACTAATTATATGATTTTATAAGTTTTATTATATATGATGATTTTACTATGAATATGTACACACTTAAAATAGATAGCCTGAATTCACAGTCAGATAAAACACAATTCTAGTTTTCTATTTACTGTATAATACTCCTAATATGGTAGTTAAGGTGGATAAGTTATTTAGTCTAGATAATTTTATTACTCTTTGATTTTACATATATTTATTACTATAAAATATTCATATTGATTATGAGGCTATACGCTAAAATCATTGGGCTTTATAGTGCTTAAATTGTTATAATATTTTTATTATCAATATATTTTACGCATGCGATATACTATTGAAATTATTACTACAATGCTTATTATATAAAGTCAATATTTGTACTGTATTGTTTCCCATTAAGTTGGCATAAGTTTATTTAGCTGGTATTTAATCGTTGCTAGATGGAAATTCTTGCGGCTAACTACATAATTATTTAAAGAATTCAGGTTCAAGCTGAAGTGTTTCAAATAAAGCCGCGGGTTAGTTGACATACTGACCCGTGAATGACCCAAAAAACCACCACATCCCATAAATTTACATAAATTTTATTCGTGATTTTTAAAAATACACTAAAATTTAAATACCTTGTAATTTTTGTATTTGTACTTACGTCCCTAAGTTACTAAGTCAGTGTTTATGGCGATTTATTTTTGCAATACCAATGATTAAATGCCAGTTTTATACTTTTTTATGTTGTAAGTTGGAGGTACTAATTTGTTTTATCTGTTATCCTTTTCGATCCCCACCTAACATGGGTTCACATAACGACCATTGTTATTATTGGCTGCCGATCGTCTGGTGCATTGTAATGTGGAAAAGTAAGTTAAATGGTGGGGGACATAATTCATCAGCATGAGTCATTCATTGCCACTTGTTATTTTTCATTATTTATTCTTAATATATTATACACTGTTGTTTAATATAACACCCATACCTATTTGTCTTTAGCCAATATTTTTTTATTCTGTTTAATGTCTACTGGCGATGTATTTGTTTATGACACATGTCGATTTGGTGTACATCAAAGTGTTAGTCATTGTAAAATGGCAACACATGGAGGAGAATCTAATCTGAAATTTATATTAGATTTATTCTAATAGACATCTGAAATCAATATCAATAAAAAGGTAAATATCGGTAAAATTTTGACGGGCTGACACTGTAAGACGAGATATGTTAGTATTATTATTATTTGTGGGGATCAATTCAGTATATACGTGTATTATAGACGAATATTAAATAGAAAGAACACAAAAATAACGTTAATAATCAACGTTTTGTCGGAGCCCTGTTTTTGTCATTAAGGACTATTATGAAATAACAAAACAACTATCAGATTTAACATATATGTGATAGGTTTGTTAACGAATAACTATTATTAAATAACAAAACTCTCTCTTTATACATCGCGTTAATGTTAATGGTGGTACATGTGGATCTTATACACGCTAAAAATGAAAAATAAATTACATTTCACAAATTCATGTATAAATTGAATCATTCCTATTTATAATGCTAATATATAATACTGTGTCATTTATCAGCTGTTCTAATAGGATGTAAATTAAGATTATTATAAATATTGTACACGAAATTGACAAGTGCAACAGTCGCCAGTAATGTTGTTATGTGCGTGTTCTGTCGCTTTGGACCCGCCTGTGGAGCGGTGTACGTCCCATATAACTCCTTGTTTAATGTTGTTTGTTTGCCTCCGCCGCGTCTCCGCCACATCTAATGCTTTGGCCACAGAAGATTGTCGAGGCGTGCAATTCAATCAAGGTCAGTTCTGCGTGACGAAATCGGTTCGGATAAATGGTAACATTCATTGGTCACGATAATTTGTGTAAATGTTTGGTGTTTTATTTTGTTACAGTTATACAGACATATTGCGTTTAATTAAATTAAGTTATTAATGAAACAAAATAAGGCGAATTCTATATTATTTTAGTATTGTATCCATGGCAGAGTTTCCTTGTTTGTTTTTTCCTTTAACAGTATTTATAAGTATTAAGTACAATATAAATATATGTTTATAGATAATTTGTTGACTAACGAAAGTTATCATAAATAACCGTTTGTTGGCTTTATATTGCCTATTTTGCATCTAACCGCTTACACTGCTGTTTTCAGTGCACGTTCATTTCTACTGATTTTTTGTCTGGATATAATTAAAGTAGTAAACATTATATAATAGAATAGAATAATACACACAATTTAATAGTATGTATTTATTCACAAATAGTAGATTACTGAAGTCGTGAATTATGACAATATTATACGACAATTAATTAGTTGCAAAATTTAAACAAAGTTTTTTTGTTAAAATCAGATTTAGAGAAAAGCACATAAATGTATATAGAATTGGTAATGTAACAAACATTGACATTTTTATAAATGATTTACATATCTTCATTAATGAGCTGAAAATTGACGATGCCTTGTTTATTGTTTGCATTCATTGTAGTTAAATTGGCACCCACCAAAACATTGTTTAACTAAATAAAAATCAACTTTGGTGGTGAAAATAATTTGAGTACTGGGTTTTTGGTTATAAAGAATTGGTGTGCGAGTGTTATTAGTGCAATATGATTTTGAAATGTAGTATTATAAAATAATTTTAATTTTACAGAACAATATGTCTACGGATGGAAAGGAGGATTATTCAGATTTACCACCCAATCAAAAGAAAAAGAAACTGCAGGCTAAAGTACATGAATTAACGAAACAGGTAAAATCTTATTTATAAAATCATTATTTATTGACTTATAAATAATAATTTTAAAATGAATGAATACGCGATTTTACTTGATAATCTAACTATTTAAATATCATTACGGTACTCAATTTATTATAATAAGTCTATTAGTATTTTTATTTCTACTATTTAAAATTTATACATGACAGTGTTACTCATTGAACTGGAACATTAATAAATATTTGTTCTTTTTTATCGAAATAGAAAAATAATCGGGCTTGTAAAAATAAAATATTACACATACGTGTAGAATGCGGCTTCAACTATTAATACCAGAGCGAGAGCCTAATTTCCTCAACTTTTCCTCTAGGCTGAACAGTTCTAAAATGTAAGATAGTAGTTAATTAAATTTGATCAATTAAATTTGCTAGGGTCTTACTACTCTACCCAATGTCGGAACAGTAGCCAAACCATTAACATTATAGAAGATTTCAATCGGGAGTAAATTGGTCAACCAAACCTGTTACTGGCTTGATTGAAGGCCCATGTATTTTATTTTCACTAGTTATTTTGAAAACCAGCGAATTATAAAATTTTAATAAATAAGGCCAATAAAGGCTAATATTATATTACAACATTAATTATTCCAGCACTAAAGGTGTAAAAGTAGTATGTAAAAATGTTAATAAAATATTCTTCAGTCCTGTGCAATTAAATAGCCACATATTTACCATCATTGTGTTATCTATACTCCGTATGTACATTTTTTTAGGTAACACAAGAACAAGGTGCAATGGAAGCATTAATGAAAATGAAAGGAGTATATGAAACGAATCCTACATTAGGAGATCCCATGACAGTGGAAGGTAAGTTCTTACTCCTCTTTTTATTTCAACGTCTAATAATAAATCTATTTTGGGGATATATAATCATAAGTTTTAATGAATTAGGAATATTACACAATATTCCTAATGAAATAGAAGTTATGATAGTTCGCTAGTCGCTAGTAGCAGAGTTCGCTAGCCACCACTGCTCCTAAGAATACAATCACATAGTATGTGTTCTTTGCAAATCTTTGTTAAGGACAGGCCTAAGTTTGCTATGTATTTATTTAGTTTGCAGTGACCAGTGATTTTATATGATGTTTCTGTAACTGATTGACGAACAACAACTCTAACAATAAAAAATATATGATATTCAGGAATATAGTAGTTTATTTTTATAATCATTATTGGCCTATAAAAGTTATCATAAATGTTGAGTTGAGAGTTGAAAATAAAATAAGTGATTTTATTGTAACATGATTTATTGCTATTATCAGGTCAATTAAATGAATGCTGCGATAAACTAAAAAAGTTGCGAGCACAGCTGCGTAAATTCGAAGAGTTGCTAGCGGAAGCCAACAGCCAAGTGAACGCGGCCACACTCAATACGCTGCCGGCCCGCGCCAACGGGGCGCCGCCCCCACCCGCCACTAGGTAACGTACAAGACAAACGCCTGAATATTATCACAAATCAATTATTTATTTATTTCCTCTATAAATATATTTTTTATGAATAATAATGACCATTCATATCATTATCATCACTGCACTCATCTGCGCCAAATAGTATACTGGCGGGGAACCAGTAGTGGATGATAAAATGAACACGTAATCAGGTCAGATGGCAAACGAACATTAGTATTAGTTGTCTCTGTATATGTAATCATCTATAACGGACTAATTTCAAAATGTCCCTACAGTTTACCGACAGCACGTCGTTCGATCCTCTCACTTGCAAAATAAATTCACAGCATCGGGTCGCACTGCGAGTTGTTGTCGCGGTCGGCTTTCCCTATCGCTAACATAAACCTAGCCTCCTTCCTTGTGTTACTAATGTTACTAATATTATAAACGCGAATGTTTGTGAAAAACTACTGATCGGATTTTGATGTAAGTTTAGCACGTCGTTCAATCCACTCACTTGCAAAATCAACCCACAGTATCGGGTCGAACAGCGAGTCGTTGTCACGATCGGCATCGGAGTCATCGGTGAGCACGGGCACGGGCGCGGGCGGGGGCGCGGGCGGGCGCGCGGCCGGCGGCTCGCCCGAGTCGGGGCTCGGCGGCGAGCTGGCCGTCGCGCACCCCGACCACGCCAACGGCCACGCCGACCACGACCACGACCCCGACCAGGACAACGACCACGAGTCGGACTTCGACTACTACTACGAGCCTGATTTGCAACCGCTCGGATACTGCATGGCGCTATATGCGTTTGAAGGTCAGTAAACTTTTTGCAACTATAATTTTTTTAACAACCGTTAGTAGAAATGCTTATGAATGAACATGCAAATAGTAAAAACGTCTACTATTTCGTTCTACGAATGTCTGAAAATTAAACTTGGGTGTAGTCCTAGCGGAAAATAAAATATTATTTTCGTATTATTTTTATAACGACGGCCTCAGTGGTTTAGCGGTTTAGCACACCGCTTTACTTTTAATGCTCTCGAGTCTGATTGCAATTATTATAAGACACAGAAAACTACAACACAGAAATCGAATTCAGTTTTCTGGCTGTTTACAGCTTTAATTTCCATCTTGATAAGTGCAATTAAAATTTAAAATGTTGATGAAATTAAACTAAGAGAAATACATTTAATTAAATGATTAAAAAAAAATGGTTATCAAACTTTACTTCAGAATTAACAGTGGTACACACAAAAAACAATAGACAATTTACGGTTAGTAGAAAAAACCAATGTAATTAATATACAAAGTGCCTAAAACAGCTAACGGCACGGGATCGACGATGCGCATGGAGAGCGGCGAGCGGCTACTGGTGCTGGAGACGGATGCGGGCGACGGCTGGACGCGGGTGCGGCGCCGGCAGACGCGCGAGGAAGGCTTCGTGCCCACCACATACATCTCCACCACGCTGTACGCGGACGCGCGCGACCACTAGCCGTCGCCGACGTCGGCCTCGCCCTCGTCCGCCACACGCTCACATGATGCTAAATAGGTAACTACCTACTGTATTCTAAATCTAATACACAAGTTATCATATGTATTTATAACTTCATATTTGCTTAGATATTTTTCCAAATCACGTAAGAATAATTTAGGCGGAAATTTGTATTTAATAAAGATCATTCCCGCAGTCTCGCTACGTGACTGTTATGATAAACATATTTTATTCTTGTGTAAACACATAAACAATGCGCTCTATAGTGTATATATATATAATGACCAGGCACTGAAAGTGTACCTGTTACCTAAGATAAATATCTCGTAGATACATTTCTCATCCCAAATTCTCTATCGAGCAATGTAATACCAGTCAACTATTGAAATGTGCAATAGGATAATACAAGATAAATATATTTTTCAGGTGGCGAACTGGCAGTGATAGTGAAACCACCAGCCAACTGGTGTAATAGTGCATTATAGTGAGTGAATCTCGTGCCAGAGTGTACACTATGTACCCGCCGTGAACTCTCAGTGAGCGTCACACAAGAGCCCGTGCTGTGTAAATGCAATCATCTTAGCGACATAACATTCACTCGGTTATTACTCGTGGCCTATATAGTATATACAAGGTGCAACGGTCAGAGTATAACAAGTCAAAATCCAGTAATAGTATTTGTGATATTAATAGATTCCCCAAAGAACATAGTCAAACAAAATGTATATTTTTAAACTTTTAGTAGTACTAATTGAATCATATATCCAAAAAACCTTAATATTGCTTGATTAGGTCCACAAATACTATATACCTGCATTTTATGTTTGTTATACCTGTTCCGTTACAAGCTAATATAGTAACAAGTATTTTTGCTATAATTTATCGTTACGGGAAAGTTAGAAATATTTTTTTATACGTACCCTTTCTATTAATTGTTAATTTGGCGTACGCCGATTGATTAGATGAAAAGGAGATCATAATAACATTCCATGTTCTTATTTATTGTGTATATTCTTGGGTGTGTGACACACATATTTTCATGTGTGCACCACGCCGTCATAGTTTAATGTTAATGCTAATAATATTGTATAACTCATCTAGATCTTCATTGTGCCAGCTGTTTATGGATTAAGATTTTTTCGTACTTATTATAGTTGTTATACTCATGCTTATTGTGATTCAGCCATAGTGTATTTTGGAATTATAGCAAAAATAGATTAATAATTTAATTATGAATTGTAAAATATGTAAACTTTAAACTTATTTCGATTATTAAATACAAAATGTTGACATGTATTACTTAAAGATTTAATGAAAGTAATGTAACCCATATCCCACGCAGAAGTGTATTATATATTGCTTATGGAAATTACTTAGTTATTAATGCTAGCTAAATGTATTTGATTAGCCAATGCTATTTTCTGAATATTTGCTGTATACCGAGATCTATGCGGATACGTTATGTATTTATATATAGTGAGCGGAAGGATGAACGAGCGCATTTGATTTTATATAAAAATAAAATATATTGAAGACATTGTAATCATTTTGTTTGATTTATATCATTTTGACCTCAACAATGTTTATAATACGTGATAAAAAAATATAATAATATATATTTTATTAGTTCCTTTACCATATACGTAACAAAAGAGGTATAATAAAATAAAAACTAAGGAAACAACACACCAAAACCTTTTTTTTTTATATATGTATTTAAAATCGGTTCCAAATTGGTGAGAGTATTATTACCCTTTATTAGAAATTGACAGAAAATTTTCATTTATAGAATCGATTATTACTCATCGCTGTAATTATATCGAAAGATATTAATGTTTACGTCTTTTCATAACAGTCTTTATTCAGTTTGAATCGTAAATCTTGAAGAACATAGAAAGAGTAAGTAAAAGCAAAGTAAAGAATAGTCAGGAAACTGACAGCACAGTTATTGTGAAATCTTATATCGGGGTAGACTTTAAAAAGTCGTCTGGGTTGGTACCTCAGCCTCACATTGCTTAGTTAATATTGTTTCGGTTTAAAATATGTTCACCGCTGTATTAGGAGTTTTCTTAGGTGCACAGTTGCACTTACTTGATATCAACATTGGTTAAAGGGTGAGATAAATCAGTGAAATTTCAGGATAGGAAGGTAACATCTTAATTCTCCGGAATGACGGTAGTATTGTTAACGTATATAAAGGCGACGGTTACCACTTTGCATCAAGTGGGCTATATATTCTTAAACTTCGTGATAATTTCAAAGTATTTATTGAAAAGCTGTTCCTCATTATAGCATATATTATATACATAATGTGCCTATACTTGTAATATTTCTGTCGACACTTGAGACCCTTCCATTAGTTTACGTCTCCACTAACATAGATTTAAGTTAAGTGTAAAATGAGTCTACGTCCCGACTCCGCGTCGACTGTACGCGTTAGTAATAAGCCATGTAGCACACTACCAATAAACTTAATAATGTCTAATAAATAGGACAACCATTTTACCGGTATACTCACTACCTACATACTATAATAAATAATATATTATGTAGCGCCACCACATCACAACATATATAACGCTACAGTGATGAGGATAACCACCGCGCTACATTATTAAGGTTTAATATAATATACTTTCATATACTAAATAGGAATTTTTAAGATTAAGTCGTACCTACCTGTTTGTATAGAAGGATAAAGATATGTTGAAATAAATTCATATTTGAATTAATAAACTTCACATAATTCTCCTTGCTTGAAATATGAGGTGGTTACATAGCGCATTGACTGTTCTATTGCCCGAATGTACCACCTTCCGTGTCTTGCCATGCAACAATTGCATAACATACAGCACTAACCAGCTTATAACATGTTAAACGTTCATTACTGCATCAGTTATATTTTATATACATCTTTGGTTTATAGTCGTCGATGTATGTTATTATGAGTAGACCGACGCTTCAGGCGAGCCCCGTAAAATCAAACATGGTAGGTACGTCGTTAACTCCCAAGCTAAAACAAGTTTTGCGGGAACTGTAGTTCGCCATTCTGAGGTCGGGGATTGTGCAAATATTTAAATTATTTTCCTGTTTGAAGTGGAATACCTACTCAAGTGTAGCTGTTATATAATGGGGCTGATTCAACGAGTGAAGAAAAATACTGTTTCAAGTGAAAGAGGTTTTGAGAAACGTTGCAAATTCTTGAGTAATTATGCAAATCCTTATAATCTAATATCAAAATTATAACATCGTGACAAGAAGATAATTTCATGTTTATTAATATCTCATGTAAAAATTACAGAAGTAATTATGATGACATCCTACATTCTTTCGTAGTAGGTATATCTACCTAAATTAGTAAACCCTTAAATTATTAAAGATTAATTATTAGATTAAAAAAAAAATGTTATGACTATTCAAAAGTGCTTCAATGTAAGTTTATTTGAATAAATGATTTTCTATTCTATTCTTTCTATTCTTAAGTTTATTCACTATTGTCGTTAGATTGTTGCTATGAACAAATGACCTTACACATAAAATTTACATGGGGTCGAAGTCGTAGCCTCGACTAGTTAAAAATAAATGTCATTGACAGTCAAGTCTGTAGCTTCGAAGGGAGTAGAGACGGACCGTTATACAGAGTTGTGAATACCACTTGCAACCTAGAGTGTCATGGTAATGATTAATGAGGAATTTTTGTTGATACGACATGGAATATGTACTGATTTCTGTTAAATATACTTCAGTTTTTTTATACCTACCTGAAATCTTAACTAAGAAGAAAAACGCTAACAGTATATGCTAATTTTACCAATTATGTTATCTATCTTTCTGAAACACCCTCATGAATATCATCAAAATTCCTCAGAATTCTCAGAAAAAAAATCGCAGATATTACACATGATGTAACTATAGGTATCTATGAATTTTCGTAATATTTTATATAACTGTATTAAATGTAGTGTTGACAAATCATAGGTAGGTACCTACCGGATATGACGGATGACCCAGCCATCATTCCAATACTCGTAATCATTATAATAATAACTAAATTTGTCTTATGAATTATCCTATGCTGTTTGATAATTGTTACTGAAAATCATAAATAAACTAATTTGTGTACTTATATTTTGTTTTTAAAATCGCAACTCATGTCATCGTGTAAATTTTCATTCCGAATGTGGCGGAAAGGATTATATAAAATAACCATACAAAAATGTCTATTTGGATGAAATATTAGTTTTATATATATACATAATTGATTAGTTTAAAATTCAGAAGTTATAGGTATAAATTAAGAGCAATTAGGTAAAATTTAAATCTAAAATTGCATGCGTAAACCCACAATCCTTGCGAATTAGAAATCTAATATGCGAGTCAGTAGCTAACAATGTTTAATTAGGTAGCTAAATATTACCACAAGCATCTTATTCTAAAAGTTTATTGTATAGATCCTATACGGCATATTATGTTCGTCACCAATATGAGGTTACTCCTATGTTGATGTTACAAATTTTATCACTATGTTTAGACAGCCTATTACACGTATGTTAAAGAAATTATTGCTACCCACTTGTTATTAAACATAAAAAAAAAGATGTATTATTTTAATTGTCACCTATGGTTGAATTAGCATCTCTATTTAGTTTGTGGTTAATGAAGATTGCCCTATATCTATCGTACCCAACCACCCTCCGTTGTAGAGCGGTGGTTAACCGCACCATATGTATGTAGAGCGCCAAATCCGTTGGTATACAGACATCGAATTCTGTTTACATAATTCGCTAAATCTGAAAGATTGGACAGTGGAAATATGTCCTGTTAGTTTCAGTTATGAATCATTTTTGAGGGTATAAACAAATTGCATTTGAATCGTTAATGGCGGTAAAATACGATAGAATGGCACAAAGTCAGGTCAGTTAGCCCTTCATGGCTGGCATGGAATTAACCGCAAAAGACTTTCGCGTCGCAAGGTAGACTTGACATGGTATATGGGGTTACTTTCCTTTGCCTTCTGATATACCTATTGATTTATTTCATCAAATTTATAAAGCGGTGGCACACTTACCTACGTACTATATGGATTCCATATGTGGCGTATAAATACATAAAGAAATATGCATAGATGATTCAAATATTTTGGGTTTACAACAACTAAGTGGTAGTTTTGATTATTCTAAACACGTATATTGATACTGATAGACTCTCTCATCTCACAATCAAAAGCTATTAAGTTAGCTAGTTAGGTAGGTACCTACTGCTTTCCAAGAAATTTACAAATTTAGCTCACGTAAAGGGAAAACTACAAAAATAAATGTTTTCTCTCTGTGTACGTAATATTATTATGGGACGACATTATGAACGTATATATTATAGTAACTAGGTATAGGTACCTATCTACCAAAGAGAATTCTAGTAAACTCGATTTAGACTGTTTATGTAAATATAGCAATAATCGAACAGCTTTGTTTTACGAATTCAGTTGAAACCCTACTATTTTGCGGAACAAAAATCCTAAATGATGACTTGGGATTTGGGATATAAACTCAGAAGGAAGCATCGCAATTTCTCCCTTGTGAAACCCTTTATTTCCTAGTCTCGTGGGTGTTACTAAAAATTCGTTCTTATTCGATGCTTGCTTTTTAGTTAAGCTCCGAGATTTCAGTCGTGCGTTGATTGGTACAGAGATATTTTGAGAATGAGTAGTTGTTAATTTACTCCAAGAAATATATATTATATAAGTTAGGAGTATAGAAGGATGACTATGAAAAATATACATATGTATAATGCAAATATCTATCACCCCTTTCGTCGTCCTATTGATTTAATTTATCAACAGTTCTCAACTACAATGCTGATTTTTTTTGTAAGTAATAACTTGAACCTATTCTAGAATTAATTGTTATATACTTAACCTTTAAAGCTTTGTTATTAGTCAGCCATTCTGCATTCCACGCTGCATTTAAGAATGTTCAAGAGAATTAGCCATAAAGATTGTTGGAGAAGGTCGTATATATCTTGGCGTGTAGAGAGAATACCCCTGACTCCAATATCCTCATCTGCCATGTACCTACAATTTCATGGTGAGAATGTGAACCTTTTTAATATTCCAGCATTAAATATAGACAGGGTATTACTACAGTATTACCTATAAACCTTTTCTTTCACGCGCACTTTTATTTTGCCATTGTATAACATATACGAGAGTTCCCGCCATTACATCCACCCTGTGTTAATGCAATGGGCTATTTCGGCTACGATCGTACTATTGTTGGTAATAACAGAACCCTGATACTTGAAATTGTCGACTTCCGTCGGTTGATGTCTCTGTAGTCTAATAATATTTTCTTAATTCCGGATATCTATAGTACAAATACACTATTATAATCTTATGAAATTATTGAATTTTGTTATAAGGAAAGTATAATTAAAAAAAGAAAAGAAAAGAAAAACATTTATTGTCAACCATTATTACATATACACATTTGACAATTGTACACTTTACACATATATATATATATATACACATACACATATGCACACATACACTCATATACATATATACATACATACATACACACTTAGAACAATTACAATAATTCATCTTATATTATTTCTACATATGGTTGGCAACATGGCTGACACTCAGCATATGCCGTGACAGCTAACTGTCACGGCGCTGGTATTCTGTACGTACGTATAATTCGGTGTACGTATATAAATAATCGTCGAGAAATTATTTTTCTATTTGAAAGGAGAAATAAATTAATGCCGACTTCATATGCTCTAATTTTGATACATTATATAATGTTAAAATCTCCAAACCTCGAGCAATTACTCCTAAATATTTAAATCATACTACATACTAGCTTTGACTCTAAATTTTATTGGTATGTAAAATGTTAACATCTGCCTAGTTACAGGTATCATAATCATAATAATAATAATTATATATAGATATAGATGTATGTACGATGTATTTTTAGAAAAAATAAAGTTGCAGAAGCACTACAATCTTTTTAAATCTACATACTAACAAATGCTGTGCAGCTACGAGTAGGTACATTAGGTACCGATGTGCCGTGACTAAAATGGCATATACAAATACAAAAGTATATTATGTGCTACTACTAGTTGTAAAATAAAATGAAAGAATATTTTAGCGAAGAACTGTAATATCCCATAGTTGAATAAAATTATTATTAGTATGTAATGGATATTGATAATTATATAATCAATTATTCCACGCATGAATGGATGAAGGATACAATTAATTTCTATAAGTTAACTACGGTGGTGAGATACTTTATAGATATAATTATGAATTTAAAATGGTTAGTCAATTAAATACCTACTAAATTTGTACAGGTGGACGCAGAATATTGTCCCTATACTATTTGGTATTTTTTTATATCTTTGTAATGGACAAAATTTCAATAAATGGAGTTGTTTATCTTAGCCAACTTTTCTTTATAAATATCCTATTTCGTAAACGTCATTGCTATTTACATGTATAAGTAATATCTTCTAATGTAACAATAACGAAATTTAACTAAAAGGTCAGAAAGAATAAATAAAGAAAGAACAAGTTGGGAACAAAATTGAATTTAAGAAATTTAGGGTCTAATAAAGTTATCCTGAGAGTACGCAGCCATTATGGTTATTACTTTCATGTCTTACGGAACCCTTGCACGTATCAGCTCACAGCCCGCGCCCTGTGTCGGAAACCGAAGAGGATTATCCCACATATCGCACCTGAGCTTCCGTTCTTTATTTATAGTAAATAGTCAATTTGCTTATACGGGCTTATGTGAAATGTGCCAGTAAAGGGTTCTGTGTACACAGTACACAGTAAGAATACAGTAAGAAAAAACGTCTTAGTGTCGATGCGATAGTGTTGTAAAAATTTATAAATGGATAAATGTTTTAATGGTAATGGTAGACAGTGAAGTGACATATATATGTATTTAGAATTTCTTTTATATGTTATTGATTAAAGAATACAAAAAATAGACTTTAAATATATTATAAAAGAGTTTCTCTACATATAGTTATGTATTTTGCCTTTGATAGAGTACATTTGTCCTGTAAAGGTTATCGTATCTGTCATCGTATAATATTCTCGATTAGGACTTGACATTGTGGTGAAGATTACCTGGGTCTTTTTTCCGGGCTACTCTAATGCTGTTGGCCGCAGCTGGCCTTTACAGCTTCACCGGACGATAGGGAACGAGTGCAAATATTGGAGTGTTATTTGCACTCGCCCCCTATCGTCTGGGAACGGGAAAATACTTAAGCAGTTTCGAACCTCAGGCTCAGGCCGTCATAATTTCAATCCCCGTTTGAATTAGAAGGGAGGACGTGGGTGTTGAGGTAATGGATGTATGACATGTATGTGCCTATGGCCCATTGCTTGTGGTCACTGTGCGTGTTTTATTATTTAATGATGAAATATATATTTTAAAGATTCGCACGGATAAACTTTCTTTTACACCTTGGGTTAGTTTATTTAAGTATTAGATTCCAAATTTTTCTAGTAATAAAAAATAGCTTATACTAGTCAGGTATAATGTACAATTCTAATGGTGAAATAATTAAATAAGTGTGTCTAGTAGTTTATTCGTTACAAACTTACAAAAATACGAGTAATTGATCTTTGAATATTAGTGTAGATAAGGGGCTCGTATTTTATGATTATGAGCGATGGGATATAGACGACGTCATCATGTCCAATATATACGCGGTGCTGCTTTCGGCTGAGAATATTAAGAGCCTGTAATTTGTCAGAGCCCCAAAAACATTGCGAGCTCGCGTCATCGGCTTTCTTCTTTGTTATTCTAGCCTCACTCGCTTCTACTTAATGAAACTTTTGTGACGTTCAATTAATTTAATTGCAAATAAAGGGTGGCGAGCGCTTGCGAGACGCAATTTGAACCAGTAATTAGATCACATTGGTTATTAGATCCTCTATTAAATTTGCGATGAAAATAGTTATTAAGTAGTTATTCCTTATTTATCTTCCAAACAAGATTATCTCGCTTTTTAAACTATAGGCAGTTTGTACTGGGAATAACAAATAACTGTTTTATTATTTTATATATATTATAGAATATATTCTCCTCGATCGAACCCCAGTTCAATTCAAACGGGGATCGAAATTACGACAGTTGGAACTGAGGTTTAAACTCTAGCAGTACCATCAGAAAAAAATATATCCTTCCAGCAGAAGTTAGCCTTCAGCCGCTCCTTAAGTCCTACTTGAAGTGCCTGTATTGGTCCCATATCATTCGGTGAAGCTGAAAATGCCACGAATAAACAGCATTAGCGAAAAAAAATTAAAATTAAAGGTAAGACGTTAGGCTAATAGGCTAAACAATAGGGAAACAGAGAAACAGACAACTGATGGTATAATGCAACTGTCACTGTTTATATTATCATCATCATTATTACACAGTATAAAACAAAGTCACTGTCGTTGTCTGTCCCTTTGTATGCTTAAATCTTTAAAACTACGCAACGTATTTTGGTGCGGTTTTCTTTAATAGTTAGAGTGATGTAAGTGGAAGGTTTATATATATAATAACACATGTGTACCCGTGCAAAGCCGGGGTGGGTAGCTAATATTTTTATATTACTAATTTGTATTTATGACAGTATCTATACACACAGGAAGGTGTTTTGTTTGCAAATCCTTAAAAAGCTATCGGTGAAAATGTTGTAGGTATGAACCCTTTAAGATCAAACTGCAAACGAACATAAATTATATGGCACGAATACGAAAGTAAACCTGATTGATTTTTTGACATAATTTTAATCTCTTAATAATATTCTAATTTTAATCGTGATTAAAACTATTTATTTTATTAAAAAAAATAAGCTACAGAAATTTATAGAAAAAAGAAATCTAATCGAAAACCTATTCTTTTGTATATACTGTTGATTACATGACATTGATTATGAGAAATTATCCAAATCAGTCATGAGAATATTATGGAATCTGTTGTATTATACCTAACTTACCAAATTTGGACTAGCAAAATGTAGCTAACACATTCTCTTTTGCAACCTCGCTATTGACATAAGTGGTAAATGTTAGGAAAATTGGAATAAATAATATTCATTATGTACATGTAAAATACTTTCATACTGGACGGTGGATGGTGGGTGGTGGGTGGTGGGTGGTGGTTAGCAGGCGCGCAGTATCCGCACGACCGTCGACTCCGGCGCAGCATTATCCGCGTAAACGCTTGTGATTCGCGTTCGCGGCTTAGCTTCTCGCGCGTATCTTTTATACAAAATCTTCAATACAATACTTAAAGTATTGAATAAAGATCAGTGAAGTTTTGGCGGTAGTGATCATTTTAATTGAGGATTTACATTAATTCAGGTTTGTTTAGAAATTTTTAATATTAATGTTCGGATTCTAGTCGGTAATACAATCTCTGTTTTGATAAGAAGAATATAACGTACCATTTCATTAGAATAAAGAATAATACTAATATTATTCTGTGTTGTAATGAAATGGTACGTTATATGTCACTAATGAAAGAACCAAAAACTAAATAAACTATATCTCCTGGCATAATGCTTAGTAGATTAAAAATGTATCACTTTATTCTGTATTAGAGTAGTAATAAAATATTTTATAAATAATATCATCAACAATTAATTTGATCAGCCCCTTAAAAGTAGTTATAGACCCGAAGTTATAGATCTGAATCGAAACCACACACGCATCGGCATCGCCAAGCTTTATGCGGAGGTACCGGCGGCGGCGCCCACAATTAAAATGTGAAAACATTATAATTACTCCAATGCATTTATTTAAGGAGTTGCTTAAGTAACTATTTGACGGCTCTGAGTTAATAGTTATATGTACTTGTCACCCATTAAATAAAACTCAAAATTACCCTTTTAAATTATTTAAACCATTTACTTTAAGAAAGATATTGTAAACAATATAATCAAATGTATTATTCTCACGTTTTATGTTAAAATTTGAATAGGAATGTACGTAATTATTTAATACCCATAGTAACATTTACGTAACATAAGTAGGAGAATGAGTATCTACCTTATAAATACGTATTGACAATCTGATTATTTCTTTATAAATCAGACTATATTATTGATTGTATTATTATAGGACTTTTTTAAATTACCCGTTAGGCGAATAGACGAGAAAATTGTTTTTTGGTCTTAAAAAAAATTGGCAGACTGCTTTTGTGTGAATATTATGCAATATCTTCGCGGACTCTAAGCTGCCTTTAATCAATAGCTAAGAAATATGAAAACTGCCTGATATAATTTTAAAAATAACACATACATATATAGTGCGATTTAACTTCAATACTTTTGTAATTTTTACTATTGTTATAAATTATTACATTAAAACCTACCTTAAATTTATAATTCTTCCGAGATTTTTGTAGGCAAAAGTTTAATATCTTTGAATAATAGTAGGAAAATAATTTATACATATACTTATATTACGTGCCACGATCGATCGAGTTTCTCAATAAGTAGGCAGGTACCAACTAACTTAGATTAATTTGAATACTTTAAACATAACTGCGACCGTGTCGTAACTGCCACAGGATAACGACATTGCATTGAGAACATTATGATTGACCTAGAATTTGAATTGAAATTCGGTTGGCTTCATAGGTAATATTAAGTAGGTAGGTAATTCATTGCTCAACCAGTGGTGATCAGAAGACGAGGGACTCATAAAGTTTGAATAGGTGCATAATGTTTGTGGAAATTGTGCAAATATTAGGTTGGGTGGTCACCTGGACTTAGAATAATTCAATAGAAATATTTCTAAGATTATACGTAGATGAACTAATTGTAATTATTCTTTTCCTGATTCCTTATATATTTTTTTTGTTTTCCTTAATTTTTTATTATATATTTAGTTTATGAACATGTATCGTTGATCATAACATAAATCTATTATTCTGATGCGATGACTGTATTCACTGTATTGTAATAAAACGATCAAAACCATGACGAAATGTTGTATAATAACTGTAATATTTCTGCAAGAGATAGTGAAACTATTGGCTTAACTGATGTTAAATGTAGATAGGTCTGCCGTCATAAAAGTACCTACTCAGATATTTAGTAATATTATACCTTCTTTTCATTGATTGTTGCGTTCAATTTGTTTTAGTACAGTAACAGAACAATAAAAAGATACTGTTTATTACAGCCGATTTAATTATTACTGCGGAATCCAGGCAAATACCTAGTTGCGTCGATCAGTTGCGTAAAGTGATACAAAAAACCGGTCCTCCGTTGCCGCTCCATTTCAGGCGCTTGCGAGGAAAGTGGAAAAATATTGTACACACATCCTGACCCCACTACTCTGTAATTTGGCTACATCCGGCCCGCTTATTTAATAAATCCTCAGTTATGAGTAGATATTGACATTTAGAATCGATAATATATCGACAATCGGCTCCTTAAGCAAGAGGCCGCGGCCCACAGAGCACCACTGAACTTTCACCGTTTGTTAGTTTTGCCTCCGACAAAGATGTCACGTTGCGTCATGTCATTTATGTGACTAACAAGGCGTGTGCAATTTATATAATACTACTATCAACATGGAATTTGGTATTGATTAAGCTTACATACAAATTAATACCCACAAATTGCATATTAATACAAAATATACTAAAGTAAAAAAAATATGAGTTGTTTATAAGAGACTCCTATAGGACTCCTAAGCAATAAGTATTTTCTTTAGCACGTATATGTATTTTGTTATATGTTTTGAGTCCGCAATAGTGTTAATATATTTATAAGTATATTTATATTGGAATCTATTAATTGGAATGTAAGCTGATCTACCTATTAAGATTAATTGATTATTTATAAAACAAATATTACAAAAATAAATAATGAAAATGCTACTAAACACACTTATTTATGCACTAAGGAAGAACAAATGAAGATCGATGTTGGAATCAGGGTATGAAAATGATATTAGAGAGACTCACCGTGACTTAAATTCTATTTGCAAGTTACCTGTTTTTATCCCGCATTCATTCCTCCTTGATGCTTTATCAGTCAACTCGATTTGTGAAGGCGTGTCCAGAAGAGATCGCGTGCAGAGGTCGACCAGACAGAGTATTCTGTTATTAATCTCCATTATTGTAATAGTTTCAATATCTCATTAATGTCAGTGGTTGTGACCTAAATTGAATAGACCGTGATCGCTATTGTCATAATCTATATAACGGTATCGAGAAGAGTCACGGGCATAGCTATTTACAACCACAGATAACCAAATATTTTACAACTAAAACCAGAGTTCGCATGAACATTCGCGTAACATAAATGAAAATAAATGTGTTATTATCTTCACAATTTTACCTATGGCGAATCTGCCTTTCTGGTAGTAGTTGAAGACATATGATAAATTCATACTTACCTGGGGAAATCTCTCTGCACATACAGTTTTTTCTGCAAGCAGTAAATGCGTCGAGCTTTGTGAGAGTTCATGTAATATTTACCCAGTAATATTGTACGCATTTTGCTACAGTTGAATCCCTGTTGCGCTATTAACACTGGATTATTTAAGTAATGGATGTTAAATTAACACACATAAAATATGTTTTATATGTAAGTAGGTATTTGTCTCTGTTAAGTCGTATTACAACATACTATTCGATTAGAATTTACCAGAATTTATATTTTTATATATATGTATATCGTAAAGCTGTCAAATTTGTAATGTTGTATATAATATAGATAGAGGTTCGAGATTCCTTCAATAATATTTCGTTCCTTTTATGGTATACAGCGTACATACTCTGTAGATTCGTAATCCAACAGAATGTTTGTTTATCATCAGTAGTAAACGCAACCTATGTACTACACCTAGGTTGTGGTTCCCACTTACTCGTACTATCATTTGGGCCGCCAGGTTATTTAATTGCCATTGACACAAAAAAAAGCTTATCATGTATTTACTCACTTATTCTACAAAGCGTTTTCTCAGTATGATGCAAATGCTACAACAAAACAAAATAGGTATATGTAGGACTATGTCAAAATGAGATAGAAAAGAAATATATATGTAGTTATGTTAAATATCTAAAAACTAAACCAAGTAGATGTCACATTTAAACAGTACAATCTGTACCTACTTTAACAATGTTTTAATTACGGTGTGTGTAGCGAAGGAATTTAACATCCTGTAGTGTAGGGCCGGTATTCCCCTTTGTCTAATGTAAGCAATAACCTTAACTAATACCCAAAGCTCATAAAACAGTCCCTAATAAGTAATTAGATTTATTATATAACTAATCTTCTCTATACGGCTTCAACGTGCTTGAATAACTTTGTAACTAATGGTTAATGGTACAGAAATCATTAAAGCATTATAGTACAGTTTGGGTAATCTTTCGCCATTCTCTATTGTCATAATTATGCGTTTTCGCTATTCTATTGATACTGCCGCACTTTTTGGAGAAGTGAAACGAGAAAACGACAAAGAGGAGGAACCTCAATAAAACGACTGGCAACAGTATGTAAAGTGTAACCTTCAGTCGATCTAACCTGAGAAAAGAGGATTTAATTGTCGCTATTTGAATTTACAAGACAAATGTGTGTAGATTTCAACATGAAACATACTAACGCAGTTGTGTGCTTCCGAAAAATCAATAAATTGGTAGTCATCGATCCTAGGTACTACTAGGTTTCATTAGTGATTTATAGTGGAGCGTTGAATATTAGGATCTACCTTGGCACTTGGTTGACTTTAGAACTTTATTGTAAATTTTGTAAATTTAGTATCGAGATCAGAGTGTGATATAGATTAGGTATTTTATCTCAGCCGCCAAGCGGCTTTTATAAGCTTTGTTTCATGTGTAGGGTACAGATTAGGCATTAAAATTACAGGTTAAGAGGCAAGACATCTGAGTCCTCAGGAATAGATACGCATGAGTAGTATCGTGGGTATCATAACGTGACATTCGTAGTGCTGTTCATATACATAGGCGATAGTAACCTACCACTTACCATCAGGTGGGCCATCACATTATTTGCCACATCTAATTATATTAAAAAAGGTACAATATTTGTTTAGGGATTTAAGGAGCATTACTGATAATTGTGATTGATCCGTTAGAAGTCTGATTTTAGTTTGGTTAAAGAGGAAAACGTTAAAATAAATAGTTACGGCCAATTGTATTCATCTTCTGATGAGTTTCAAATTTGATGAATGATTTTCCTAATGAGCGAAGAAACATAATAGCATTTTATCATGTGATTGACGGCGGTGACTGGCAGCTTCAAACGATAGGTCCAGTTGATTGCCCACTATGCAATCTCTATAAATATGATTGCGCATTTAACCACACATTGCAATTTATACCT